CCCCCGGACCCCGGCCACCCCTTGCATAAAATCCTAGCTCCGCCCCTGGTTCCATCAGGAACATCCGGTTCTAAAGGTTCTGGTTTGGAAAGACTTTCAGTTCTGTGTAAAAACCTTTCATCTGGAAKGTGAACTCCTGCTGCAGGTGTGTTTCTGCACGTTGGACGGATCGAGGAGGTCCTGTAGGGAGTCGGTTCTGGACCTGGTTCAGAGGCCCGGTCTGGATGTTTCATCCTGCATCAGGAAAATAGATGTTTGTTAGAAAGGAGTGGTTTTAATGAGATGTTGAACCTTTTATATCTAAAGAGGATTTAGTTTCTGTTCTGTTTTATAATTTAATCAACAAGTTCTTACAGATAAAATCAGATAAAGTGAATTATCTGAAACAACAGAAAGGTCCAAATGTTTTCAACTCAAACTGGTTTCTACAAGCTGCTTGTTTATTCAAATCAAAACACTGCAGAGACATTTCAGCTGTCTTCTCCTGTTTCTCACACAACTGTCAGTTCTCCTCCCAGGAATCTGAAGAAAAAATATCAAATAAATAAATAAATGAGCGTCTCCATCAGAACCAGTGAGGTCTGACTTCTGGTTGCAACACATTGTAAAAACAATGTTCACCAGAAAAATAAAAAAATAAAAAAGGTGAAAAATCCCCCTCAGACATAAACAATGTTTAGTTTGGTCCTGAACCCGGTCCTGTTTGGACCCTCAGACCTCACAGCAGAACATCCATCAGAGCTGAACCACGTCTCAGAGAGTTGGACCAAACTGCTGGTTTTACATTTTAACAGATTTTACTGAAACACAGCTTCTCTCTTTAACTCCTGTCGTTAACTCTTCCTGCTGCTTCCAAAACCTCAGAACCTCCCAGCTGAACTCAGGTCGTCTGCACGCCAGGGGYGGAGCTAGACTTGGCCCAGGGGGGGCCAGGTGTGTTTTAGGGGGGCACATACAAATAAAGAAAAGAGCTGCCACAGCTAATTTTAAATGGCTTTAATTCATCTGATTTAAGAAACACTGAGCTGAAACTTTGTGATTAAAACAAGGATTGATCAAATAACAAGCCGAATGCTCGTTATTATTCAGCCATTTTTAGACAAACAAAGCTGAAGATTAGTGTACAAATAACTGAATACCATCTGTAATGGAACTGATGCTTTTAGGTTTAAGCCCCCCCCCCCCCCCCAGGGTCTCTGCTGCTGTTTGTTTCAAACATCTTTAACATGAAGACAAACATGACGAGAAACTCAAACCAAATGTTCTCCCAGAGTTCGTAGATCCATACATCATGTGAACAGTATGTGGCTGACCCCGCCCATATTCTGCTGTCACCGACCTGCTGCTAATGGCTAACAGATGAGCCTTTGTGTGTGTGTGTGTGTGTGTGTGCTCGCGCTGGGTGTGGACCCTCAGTCCTTCAGTTTCTGATTAGTCTGAGGACTTGCAGCCAACACATGAAACATTATGTAATATATGAACAGAGTTAATCATCATCATCTGCTCCTGGACCTGTCCGCTCTGCACACGCTCACTGACTGATGATGTCATGGGCACAGGAAGTGGACAACACCTCAGAGATGATGGCAGAGACTGAAGGTCCACTGGACCTCGCCTCATTAGCACGAAAGCCTCAGAGCTCCTCCAGCTCCATCTTCATCTTCTACGTCTCCCCCGGCAACAGTCGCATGATTCCATTGGAATTTTTAATGGGCGTGGCCAAATGACTCGACAGCGCCACCTAACGTGAGATAGAGGAACTGGTAAGCCCTAGAGAGCTGAAATTTGGGGCCTTGGTAGATCTCCCCAAGTCAAGAAAAAAGTCTCTTGGAGGTATGCCCTAAAACCAACAGGAAGTCATCCCCAGTCGGGTCAAAGAGGCAACAGGTCCAGGAGAAAAACCCAGACCTCCCTCTCCACAGAGACACTTTCCAGCTCGTCCTGGAGGACTCCGAGTGGTTCCAGGCTGGAGATAAGCCCTCCAGAGATTCCTGGGTCTTCCTCAGGGCCTCCTACCAGTGGGACGTGTGGAACACCTCTGAAGGGAGGCGTCCAGGAGGCTCCTGATCCGAGGAACCTCCTCAGCTGTCTCCTTTAGATGTGGAGGAGCAGCGGCTCTACTCTGAGCTCCCCCCTGGATGACAAAGCTCCGCCCCCATCTCTAAGGCTGAGGATCTGGTTCTTTGGGTCATGATCCATGCCTCATGACCACAGGTGAGGGTTGGAACGAAGACAGGCCAGTAAATCCATCTTTGCCTTTGACTCAGCGCTGTCTTCACCACGACTGACCGAAGCAACGCCCTCATTACTGAYGAAACCCCAATCCATCCATCAGCCTTTTACAGAACCATGGGCTCAGATCTAGAGTGCACACTGAAGGTCCTACGAGCCAACAGAACCACATCATCTGCATAAAGTGAGACCCTGTGGTTCCCAAACCAGACCCCCTCCTCTCCACGACTGCACCTTGAGATCCTGTCCATAAACCAGGATCAGAGACCAGGGACAGCCCTGATGAAGTCCAACACCGACAACAAGCTCAAGTCCAAGACCAGACCACCACTCAGCTTCAGATCAGGGAGGTCCGCCCTCTTCCAGGTAACTCCATCATGGACCTTAGACCTGGGTCCACCAGATCTTCTGGTTTAGGTTTGTTTGGAGCACCTGGTTGAAGCGGTCCGGCTGCTGGTGGTGAAACAGGAAGTGACTGGAACAGACATCCTGTTTCTTACAGGGATCAGTTCTACAGAGAGCTGCAGAATCTGAACTCCTGATGACATCATCAACTTAATTTAATGATTTATTTCTGAATGTTTAATTTAAGGTCATGTGACACCTTCATGATGAATTAACTGCTGAGTCATCATTAAACTACTTCTGCAGACTTTTAGCTGTTGTGAATCAAAGGTTCGGCTCGTTCAGGAAACAGCTGCTGTGATTTTTACAAATATTGAATTTTATCAACAAACACTTAAATATCTGAACAAACCTGTTTTTAGAATCAACCTGATTTAAACTTTTATTTTAGCTTAGCACACGGCTTCTTTAGCATTTTAACATCTCAGTTTGAGCTTGTTCAGCTGACATTCAGCTCTGAGCTCTCTCACTGAAACAGTCCAACGACTAAAGTCTGGATCTGTGGAGCTGGACCCAGCAGAACCCGAGGTGTTGGGGTCACCTAAAAGAATGTGCGAAGGGTTCTGCTGGATGGTCTCGTTGCTGTAAATCCCCTCCTGATGACCTCACTCCTGCAGGAAGCTGAGCAGCTGCTTCTCTCTCTGTTGTGATTCAGAAACACAGAAACTGAATCTGGGTGGAGGCTTGTTTCCTCACTTTAAAGCTTAATGTTTCCCAAATGTTGACCCCTGAAAATACTTTAACTAAGTAGTCGAGGTGAACGAGGGCTGCAGAAAAGATTTGTGCTAAAATATTCTGAGGATGCAGCAGAGAAAATGTTTGACCTTTAGATTTCATCTGAAGCGACAGGTTTGAGTCTGCAGGTGAATAAAAACAGGAAGTTAAATAAAAACAGAGAAAAGCTGCTGACTGCCTGTTGATGTGGTCTGGACCTGCAGGTCTGAGGTTTGATTCCTCAGTTTTACTTCTACATCATTTTCAGCTTAAAGAGAAAAATACAAACAAAAAGATACTTTAAAAAGGTACATACCTGTACATAAAGATGTTGGTCTGTCTTCAGTGGCAGCTGCTTGTGTTAGACTGCCCCCTGCTGGTCTCTGAGCTGACACACAGGAAATTATTACATTTAGAGTCCTGCTGCTGCTGGAGGATTAATGTTTGCTTTAAGGTGAAGATAAATGTGGAACACAAAAAATAAAAACTATATTTAACTGACGGTTCTAACTAATCTTTAAATAAGATTTAAATAAAAGGTAAAGGGGTGCTTTATTTGTCATCAGTGTATGTTTCCACACAATGACGAAATTGTGCTCTGCCTTTAACCCATCCACACCCAGGTGGAGCAGCGGGCAGCCATGTGAGGCGCCCGGGGAGCAGTTAGGGTTAGCTGTCTTGCTCAAGGACACCACGACATGTGGGTATGGCGGGGAGTCGAACCTAAGACTTTCAGGTCCCAAGCCGGCTGCTCTACCACTACACCACAGCCGCCCCATATTTGAAATATATTCAAATATTCCAACAATGCAGAGAGGAAAACTGGGATGGATGAATAAATGGAGGACATAAAGCTGAAAAACACCAGACTGCGCCCCGCCTGTCCCATCCACATATATATATA